CCTCTGTCCCATAGCAGCCCCAGCCTTTTCTCCTCTCCTGGCCACACCTATACCCCACTTACCTTTCCATCATAAACCTCCAGCTTGTCCCCTGAGCTGACCCTGCTTCCCTCCATTTGGGAGAAGCCGTGGAAGCCTCTGGCTGTTCTCCTCCCCTCCTTTTTCAGCCTGTTCTCCAGTGTTCATGTTTGGTCCACAACATCAACCCACTTTTTTTTTTTTGGTTGATCTCATTTCTCGGAGTTTCTGATGCTCTGTGTCCAAAGCCCAAGCCACCGTATTCTTTTCACTTTCCAAATTCAAGCCCTCACCCTGGCTCTGCAGTGGCTCCCTGCTCCGAGCCAGCTCACCTGATTCTTTAGGGGCAGAATGTTCCAAGCACAGGCTATAAAAATGTCCTTCCTAGCTTTTGCATATTTCCCTGGGACTCTTTCCCGCTTACCCAAGAAGACACCATTTCTCCCACAAAGCTGGCAGCTTTAATACCCTTCTCCAGCGCCCTTCCTGCCCACCGTGGCTGAGGTCACAACTCTGGACTATGAAATTCACAAACACAATCAGAGGTTATCTCCTGTCATTTGAGGATCCCTGATTAGAAAAGAACTTGATACCTAAGCAGGGCATGTATAGAAATAAAGAATTTGAAAAAAGGGAGAAAGAAAACTGGACACACAGATCAGCAAGGGTTAGCGGTTTCCTTGTCGCTGTCACAAGCAAACTCCTGTTCTGGGTCATGCCAGCTGCTGCCAACCTTACAACCAGAGGTACAGTCATTGGGCCTGTGCCATCCAGGACAGCAGCCACTGGCCACATGTGGCTGATGAGCACTCGAGAGGAGCTCAGAAAAGCTGAGATGTGCTGTGGGTGTAAAATACACACTGAATTCTAAAGACTGGGTATAAAAAGAATGTGAAATACCTCATCACCATTTTGTATATTGATGACACACTGAAATGATAGTATTTTGAATATACTAGGTTAAATATATTATTGAAATTAATTTTACTTGTTCTTTTTCTTTTTTTTTTTTTTTGACATGTTGTCTCGCTCTGTTGCCCAGGCTGGAGTGTAGTGGTGCGATCTTGGCTCACTGCAACCTCCGTCTCTGGGATTCAAGTGACTCTCCTGTCTTAGCCTCCTAAGTAGCAGGGATTACAGGTGCCCATCATCACTCTGTGTTAATATTTATATTTTTAGTAGAGATGAGGTTTCACTATGTTGACCAGACTGGTCTTGAACTCCCGACCTCGAGATCTTCCCATCTCAGCCTACAACAGTGCTGGTATTCCAGCCACCATGCCTGGCCTCTTTTTCTTTCTTTCTTTTTTTTTTTTTTTTGATTTTTAAAATATGTATTTTATTTTTTGAAAATATTTTGAAAGTAATTAAGATACCTGATTGGAAGGGAGAAAAAATCAACACAATGAAATTTAGGAACAGAAATGCAAGAGCAGCTGCTGCATCCGGCCCCTTCCACCCGAGGGGCGCAGCCAGGAGATGCTCATTTTATGATCCCAAGTGTACGCTGTGGTCCACACAGAAATCACTAATTACCAGCCTTCTGGTGGAAGGACCCTGCCCAAAGTCAGGGTCAGAAATAGGACAGCTCATCGTGCTTGGCTTTGTTGGTCTGGTAGTTAGACAAGGTCAAGGGCTTGTTTCATGAGGGAGACTTTGGAATACTCGCAAGTGGACAAATTCCTCATCACCGACATGCACCCTGATGAAGTAGTTCGTCTCCGCAACCACCTGGCTCCTGAAGGACACAGCCTCGAACACGGGGAACTTCTTGTTTTCTTTTTCTTCAAGCTGGGACCTTACCTGGTTGGCGATGTTCTGGGTCTCGGCGGTGGCCGGCTGCGCGGCGGAGGGCGCCACGCACATCATCGTGGCGGCAGCAGAAGGACTCGGCGAGGGACAGGGCCTCTTTTTCTTTGTTAATGTGGCCACTAGAAAACTTTAGTTCCCATTGCAGTGCACGTTGTATTTCTGTCACCCACCACTGCAGGGCACTGCTCTGTCACTCTCACCATGGGGAACCCTGCCCTGGGAATGCCGTGGCTTTGTTTCTTACTGCTGCTGTAACAAATTGCCACGAGCTCAGTGATTCAGAACAACTCGTTTATTATTTTGCAGTTCTCAAGGTCAGACTCTGACCTGGGTGTCACTGGGCTACAGCCAAGGTGTCACCAGGGCTGCATTCCTTCTGGAGACTGTGGAGAAGAATCTGCTTCTCTGAGCTGCCCACATGCCCTGGCTCATGGCCCCCTTCCATTTCTAAAGTGAGCAATTGTTGTGAGGATTTTTCATGCCTCACATTCTCATGCGGACTCTCCTACCTCCCTCTTGCACATTGGAAGGATGAGCGTGATTGTACAGAGCCCACCTGAATAATTCAGTATTATTTCCTTACATTGAAGTCAGCTGACTAGTTACCTTAATCCCATTTGCTACCTGAACTTCTTTTGCCCAGGGTCCAGTTTGCTGACATATGCATGGCTTCCAGAAATTAGGACTTGTTCATCTTTGGGGCCTTTCTTCAGCTGCCCACTTGCCTGTGCCCCATACATCTGTTTTCTTGTTCTGTGCAAACTGGCCAGGTCTTGGAAATGACTGGTGTGGGGACTGCTTCATTTTCTCCCTTTTCTGGTTATAGTTCAGAGATCTGCTGGGGGATGGTTGTGACCCCAAACAAGCCATTTCCTCCTTGAAGGGAGTGAGAAGAAGGGAGCATGTGACTTGACCAAGCCAATCAGCAAACGACCCCCCTCTTGTTCAGGACGGGCATGTGACAGAAGCTGGGCCACTCACAGCCCATATAAGGACTTCACTGAGATGCTGACAAAAGCAGGCCATTTGTGCCACAGGGAAAGCCAGCCTGAAATGAAACTGTCTCACAAAGAAATAGAATGAATGACTTGTAGAGAACTGGAAACAGAAAGAAAATGAAACTTGCAGAGAAAATATTGCAAGTACAGTTTGAACCTCTGGATCGAACCATGCCTGAGTCCCTCCTGGCTCTGACTTTTCAGTTAGGTGAATCCACACTTGTCTTTTTTGGCCAAGCCGTTTGAATTGGATTTTCTGCTATTTGCAAGATAAAGATCTGCCATGACTCAGAGAGGGGTTAAAGCCATATTTGATCTGGACTCATGAGAGCTCATGAAGCCTGTCCTCACCCAGTTGTCACTTCTCACCAGCTTTGAGGCACGGGTCCTAAACGAATGCCCTGTCTCACCTTCCCCCAGATCTCCAAGAGGAGCCTCCTGCCTCTACTTCTCTTCCTTCCCTGGAGTCAGTGTTTAGGTGTGCTGGTCAGCCTCATCCAGCCCCTCTTTTCTGGAAACTGCTCTAACTCCATGGCTGGATTGACTGGCCAAGAGAGACACCAGGGTGAGCTGGACTATCAGACAGTCTCTCCTAGGAATCTGAAATATGAATTCAGAGAGGCCAGCAGCCCATTGTCCATGGGAATGCAGGCTGTGGGGCTGAGAAACCCCTTTCTATCCAGAGGGAGGGAAGGTATGGGGGGTGAGGAGAGAACAGCAGAGGCAGGCAACCCTGGGCCAGGGGAGCCAGGAGCAGCTGCCTCTGTCTCCAAGCGCTCACTACTTGAGGTCAGGTTCTTCCTGAGGTCTGACAGCTCCTCTTGCCACTGGGTCTGAAATAAATCAATGATCATCCGGCCATTTTCGCTTTCAATGAGATAAATGAATGTCCATCACTTGCTATCAGAAGAGCCTTGAATAGCCACTCTTCCCAATCCA